TGAGATACAATTTACATACCATACATTCACTCATTTAAAGTGTATAGCTCAGGGGCGCCTGGGTGGCTCAGTTGGTTAAGCGACTGCCTTCGGCTTAGGTCATGATCCTGGAGTCCCGGGATCGAGTCCCGCATGATTTGTGATTAGCAGCTCCCTGGGCCACATGAACTTTTGGTTAGATTTCCAAAGAGACCTGGCTGTCCCTTTTCTCCTCTGGGTGAGCAGACTCGGGTCTGCTTCTCCCTCTGACCTTCCTCCCTCTCATGCTCTCTGTCTCTCAATTCTCTCTGTCTCAAATAAAAAAAAATAATAATAATAAAAAAATAATAAAGTGTATAGCTCAGTGGTTTTTCAGTGTATTAATAGATACTGTGTAACCACTGCCACATTAATTTTTGAGCATTTTCGTCACCTCCAGAAGAAACGTATACCCTGCAGTTATCACCCCCCTGTTGCTCACCTCCTAGCCCTGGGCAGCTGCCGATCTACTTTCTGTCTGTGTAGATTTTCTTATTCTGGACTTGCATATGAATGGGGTCCTATAAGATGTGGTCTTTTTGACTAGCTTCTTTTACTTGGCATGTTTTTAAGGGTTATCCTTGTTGTAGCCTGTGACAGTACTTCATTTTTCTCCCCCTTTAGGTTCTTTTTAAGCTTGTGTGTTTGTCCTTCTGTCCATGTGGCCCAGGGAGCTGCTAATCACAAACCTGTGTTAACCCCCAATGTCGTTCAGTTTATATTATTGACTGTGTGCCGTGTGCCTGTGGCAGGCCTGCTGCTTTAGGCACGTAGTGTCTCATGCAGTCTTTTCAGGGGTAGATCCCAGTACTTTTATATACATGTCACAGATGAGAACACTGAGTTTCCTTTATTTTTACTATATCTGTTTTACTTACAGCTTTGTTAATGCTGGAAGGTTTAATCACTCTAATTGTTTTGTTTTGTTTTCTGGTCCTGAAAGACAAGTCTCTTACCATTACAGGCTCTTCCAGATTGAGATATTTCTTTACTGTGTGTCTGGACAGTTTCTGATGTCTACTTTGGAGTTAGGAGATAACATGTTAGTACATCAGCTCACCCAGAGGAGAAAAGGGACAGCCAGGTCTCTTTGGAAATCTAACCAAAAGTTCATATAGATTATAAATGTTTTACTGATTTAATAGGAAGATAGACATAATAGTTATTTCTGGAAGCCCAGATTGGGCTTTTGTGGTTGGTTGTTTGCTTCCCTTCCTCCCCTGACCCCCATCTTAATGTCGGGGAATTCTTCTTGATGGGGTTTGCTGTGGGAAAGTGGACTAATGTATTTTGTTGAAAGTTTAAGGACTTTAAATCTTAAAATTAAAGGCCTTGTAATGCAGACTTGGAGAGCCTTTCCTTTCTTCTGGTGTGGTTGAATTACTGCCTCCACGATTCCAGACAGCCTGCTTGTGGAAAGGTTGTTCATAAGCTCAGGCATGCTTTCAACTTGACATTTTCCTTTTTCTTACAGGGATTAAGGCCTGTGGTTTCCACAGAAGCACCGCCTATCATATTTGCCACACCAACCAAACTGAGTTCTGATTTTGCGGTATATGATTATGCTGGGAAAAACAAAGTTCCTGAGCTGCAGAAGTTTTTCCAGGTGAGAGAAGACACTAGAACAGACACTAGAGAATAAGTTATTTTGGCAGTGAGTTTTCTTCTGGTTGTTTTTTGCTTGCTTGATATTAAAATTCACTGAGCTGTTAGAAGTAGAGGAGGCTCTCTTGGGTTTGCTGATCAACAGAGAGAAGCCAGAATTGGATTTTAAAATATTATTAATGGTAATCTATGTACAGATAATAGGCCAGTGACCCAGCTGCAGATCAGGTGCTGTGGGAGTGGCAGTGTCTGTTCCTGCTGTTGCTAGAAGGCAGCTTCCCCATCCTCAAAAATATGTGCAGATTCAGGACCGGCTTGGGGACTTTTGGTCAGTTTAATCCCTTTTTATCCGATAAGTAAGACTTGATTGGGCATTTGGGGTCTTGAGTTACTATGGGGGAGGGAGTTTGGAGACTGCAAAATAATGGATTCAGCATTTTATGGAGTCTTTTTTTTTTTTTTTTTTAAAGATTTTATTTATTTGACAGAGAGACACAGCGAGAGAGGGAACACAAGCAGGGGGAGTGGTAGAGGGAGAAGCAGGCTTCCCGCCGAGCAGAGAGCCCGATGTGGGGCTCGGTCCCAGGACCCTGAGATCATGACCTGAGCCGAAGGCAGTCGCTTAACGACTAGCCACCCAGGCGCCCGGAGGAGGAACATTGATCAAAAGAACAAACCAGGATTAGAAGGGAAACCAGTGTGGAGTCACTGAAGCCAAGTTGGTAGTGAGGTCTAAAGGAGGAGTTGTCAACAACAGTGATTTATTTCTTTTGCAGATTACAGGGGAATAGCCATTTCTATCATATTTGCTTCTATAGGAGTGTATTTTTCAGTGCACTGATCTTAAATGTTGCAGTTCAGTGAGTTTTGACAAGTGCATACACTGTAACCCATACCCCTGTTAACATATCGACATTCCGTCACCCCTAGGAAGTTCCCTTCCCTATCTCTGTCTACCTTCCTATTGTGACTGTTATAAATTAATAGTTTTGCTGTTTTTGAATTTCATGTAAATGGAACCACGCAGTACTCTTTTGTGTAGGGCCTCCCCCCAGTCAATATTTTTGGGGTTCATTCATGTTACATGTATTAGTAGCTCCTTTTATTGCTTTGTAGGATTTCATTGTGTGAATATATCACAATTGATTTGTTTGTGGTTGTAGATGTTCTTTTATTTTTTATTTGTTAGCGCACAAGCAGGAGGAGCGGCAGGCAGAGGGAGAAGCGGCCTCCCCGCCGAGCAGGGAACCCGATACGGCATTTGATCCCAGGACTCTGGGATCATGACCTGAGCCACCCAGGTGCTCTGTAGATTTAATAGAATTTTAGCATAATCTAGGTTTTGTTACTTAGCGAGGAAGTAAAATTTTAGACTAAAACATATGAAATGGAATTGGCTCTCAGAGCAGAGATTACCCTGAGATGCATGTGGTACAGGTAGGGCCTTCAGATTTCTGGTGCCTCTTAAATCACTGGGGAATCATTGAGTAGTAAGTTTAGCCATGGTAGATGGAGATAGATCATGAAGGGTGTAGGATGGTAGGACTTAATTTTGTGAGAAACAGGAATTTTCAAAACATCTTGATGGAGAAAGTTGTGGTAGAGTCTTGTCCAGAGGTTGAAACAAGGGCGTACTTCTTACCTTTAGTTTCATGGAGGGTTTATGATGGAGGAGCAAGTATCATGACAGAGCTATGCCTGAAAAGATAATATGACTGGGAGAGACCAGTACCAGGGATGCCTGTTAAACCCATAAAATAGTTCAGGGTCTTCTGAGTGGGAAAGGAGAGAGGTCTGGGGGATAAGGATTTAGCAACTGATGTGGGAGACTGGGGGGATGAGAAAGGAGGACTCCAGGATGATTGGGTAGTGGGAGGATGGTGGTGCTTCCATTATAAACAGGGAGCTTGAATAGGTCTGTGAGGAACTGTGTGAATTTTGGACCTGCGGAGTGTGTTGTGTCCTGGAAACATGGAGGTGGTGATATCTTGCTGGCAGGTAGAACTTGAGTTGCTGCAGATTGACAGTTGTTTCTAGCCCTAAATCAGAGTGAATTCAGATCAGAACACTGAAAAATTCTATCATTTAAAAATTAAAACAAAAAAATCATGTAATTCTCTTATTTCTCCACTCTCCTCAAACCTAAAAGGTAGAAGAAAAGGGAAACTTGGGCCAGTGAACTTCGAGGGGAAAAAAATCGAGTTGACTTTTCTCTTTAAAAATTTGGAGCACCTAGGGGCACCTGGCTGGCTCATTTGGTGGAGCATGAGACTCTCCGATCTTGAGGTTGTGAGTTTGAGCCCTGCATTGGGTGTAGAGATTACTTAAAAATAAAATCTTAAGAAAATTTTTTGGAGCAACTGTATTAGACTGGGAAGAACTCAGCCGCTGAATGTGGTAGCTGTTGAATGGCTCTTAATTGTAGAGGTAGTGATTGTGTAAATAGCTAAGAGATTTGGTATTAAAAAGCAAAACCTGTGATTTCCACTTGGTCTGCAGTCCACTATTTTAAGAACAGTATTCACTAGTTTTCTCATTTGTGGGAGATGTGGGAGGCTCTGCCATCAGCTACTGATTTGATTTACATGACTTTAGTTCTGAAATATTTAAGTCTACATGGTGGTGAAGCCATAGCTTATTTATACATTCAACAGATATTTACTGAGTGTGCTCTTTGCTTTTTTAAGTCTTGGGAAGTAAGAGCAGTGAACAAAACATGCCAAAATCCCGCCTTTGTGAGGCTTCCATTGCAGTAGGGGGAGACAAAGTAAACAAAGTAAAATTTGGTGTGTTAGGTGCTTATAAGTGCTGTGGAGAAAAAAAACTGGGAACGGGTGATAGGTTGTTAGCAGGGTAAAGGGGAGGACATGCAGTATAAAAGGGTGGTAAGGGAATGTCTTGCTGAGAAGGTGACACATGGGCAAAGACCTGAAGGAGGTGAGGGTGCCAATCATGTGGATACCCAGAGAAGAGCATTCTAGGTAGAGGGAACAGTGCCTGGTGCCTGGGAGGTTTAAGGGGCTTGTCTAGGGGACTGGGGGTAGAGTAAGGGGATGATGTAAGTGGTAGGGTGGTGGGGTTTGAGGGGTGCATCTCATGGCCCTGGAAATCATTGTAAGAACTTTGGGTTTTGCTCAGTGTGAGGAGGCTTTTGGAGAGGTTTGAGCTGAGTAGTGACATCTACAATCACTGGTCACTGCATTAAGAGTAGACTGCAGGGCAGCCAGTGTGGAAATGGAAGGAGGGTGATCAGTTGGGGGGCTGTTATAAAAATCCAGGGGTTTGGACCAGAGTGTGGATTGGTGGAGATGGGTGAGAAGTGGTCAGATGCTGAGTGTATTTTGAAAGTAGAGCCAAAAGGATTTGCAGTGTGTAAGCAGTATTAAAAATGATTCTGGGCACCTGGGGGGCTCAGTCCGTTAAGCATCTGACTCTTGATTTCGGCTCGGGTAATGATCTCAGGGTTGTGAGATTGAGCTGTAGAGGGCTTCGCATTCAGTGAGGAGTCTGCTGAGATCCTCTCCCTCTGTCTCCTCCTCCCCCACTCGCTCGGTCTCAAATAAAATCTTAAAAAAAAAAAAAAAGATTCCAAGGATCTTGGCCTGAAAACCTGGAAGGATGCTATAGTCAGTTACTGAGATGGGGAGGCCCATAATTCTTCTACATTGGGGCAGCCGCAACCCTGGAAGAGGCATAGGTGAAGGGATTTGCTTTAGGTACCTTCCTGTAAATACAGCTTCCTGTTCAAGTCCACTCTTGAGAACCCCAGTGTCAGTCCTGTCTAGCTGCCTTGAAACATTGGAAGCACTGACTGCTTTTAATTCTTAGGAAATTTAATGAGAGATAGGTGAATATCCATTCATACACATGATCTTAGCCAAAAGGCCGAGAAGCGATTAATATCCATTCCTTTTACCTGTGGGGCCAGGACAGCTGAATTATTGATTGTATGGTATAATAAAAATGTGTGGGTTTGAATCCCATCTTTCTTATGGAATCTCTGAGCTTTGTTTTAATCGTCGGTAACATGGGGGGCGCCTGGGTGGCTCAGTCGGTTAAGCGTCTGCCTTCACCTCAGGTCATGATTCCAGAGTCCCAGGATCGAGTCCTGCATCGGGCTCCCCACTTAGCGGGGAGTCTGCTTCTCCCTCTGACCTCCCCCCCCCAATGCTCGCGTGCACGCTCTCCCTCTCTCTCACTCACTCACTCTCTCAAATAAAATCTGAAAAAAAAAAAAATCATCTGTAACATGAGACGATAATACCTCATTTACAGGGTTAATGTGAAGAGTAAATTTATTTATGAAGATTATGTAGGATCCTGAAAAGAAATGCTTATAAATAAAAACAGAATGTAGAATTTTATTTTATTTTTTAAAAGAATTTTATCCATTTATTTGACGGCATAAACAGGGGGAGTGGCAGGCAGAGGGAGAAGCAGGCTCCCCACTGAGCAGGGACTTGGGGGCTCTATCCAGGACCCTGGGATCATGACCTGAGCCCAGGGCAGAGGCTTAACCGACTGAGCTGCCCAGGTGCCCCTAGAATGTAGAATTTTATACTGCAACTGTAAAGATGTTAAAATACGCCTATAAAAAAAGATTGGAGGAGAATATACAAATTATAATAGTTAATGGGATAAGATACTGGGATTACTGGTAACTTTAAAATTCCATATTCCAAACTTACAGTATTATAAATGGAAATACGGAGTTATTTAAAACCATTAAGATGGTTGATACTCTTTTTTTCAGATGATATTGTTCAAAAACTTTGCTGTAGTTTTGAATCACTTGATGGGTGAACAAACACTGAGCGATTAGGTATAATCCTTTCTTTTTTTTTTTTTTTTAAAGATTTTTTATTTATTTATTTGAGAGAGAGAGAATGAGAGACAGAGAGCATGAGAGGGAAGAGGGCAGAGGGAGAAGCAGACCCCCTGACGAGCAGGGAGCCCGACGTGGGACTCGATCCCGGGACTCCAGGATCATGACCTGAGCCGAAGGCAGTCGCTTAACCAACTGAGCCACCCAGGCGCCCTAGGTATAATCCT